CTAAAGTGTTAAGTTATATACATATTCTATTTGTAAAGGGTAGACACGGATCAAGATGTTTCTTATCAGTAATGCTATCCGTAATGCAATCAGAATCCCGAATCCTTCGGTGCGTATCTTTCATATATGTATTACAAATAAACAAACCCAAAAGGTATAAACTATACACAGACACGCAACATTTCGCAATCTATTCGCGGCCTCAATATGCCGAAAAATATGGTCACGCGTCAATTATAATTCAAGGATAACAGTGGTCATACATCTGATATTTCAGCCATTCAATCTAGTCCCTTTAATCCAAAGTGTTTAAAAAGGGCAGTCACGGATCAAAACATTTAACAATGAATGATCGAATATTAATGAATGCCATTGGTAATACAGATTTACAAATACTTTATGTAAGCAAGGTAAAAAGGGACTGGAACATAATATGTGTAGGGCAATAGTCGATTTTCAATATTAACGAAGTTAATGTACATTACATATCGAGCAGAAAGGAAATACTGATTACATATATATAAATGTTAGAGTTCAATATTCTCTATGTAGCTTCATGTAGGTGGATAGAGAAACAACAACTCGCTTCTCCAGGTTGTAAATGATGAAATTTACTGAAATTAGTCATATCATCAGCTTAGTTTTGTTTTTACTCCGTCATAGCAAAAAAAATAAAAAATTCCGAGGTAAATGTACACAAAGACACGTGTCGTGTTTCATAGCTTGTATATCCTTTATTATGTTAGTGTGCTTTCAAGATAACATAGAATGATCCTCAAACAATCAGGTATTACTTACGAATGCTTTTCGTCAGAGCTGGCGACGACATTAATACGGTAGCAATAAGGCGACGATACTCTATCTGAATTGCATATTTTAAGATCACCCTTTCAAGATTGATCTATCAGTGCGATCAAGTAGGGAAGACGTTTTCCTCGTTTCATACAGTATGCTGTAAGAGGCAACTTATGTAGGAACCTCTGGTATAATTGGGGATTTAATTAAATGTCCTCTACTTCATCCAGCACAGTTTTCCACTCAGTCACATAGGATACCAGTTGGTGTAATTACCCCAAATGCTGAATGCTACGTAGGGAATAGCAACATCAATATACCATTGCATGGATTTGTGTATGTCCTATTGAAGCTACCTCTATATTGATTCGCGAAAGGTACACAGCAGATAAAGTCTACCACGTGATCAATTGTGTTTCAAGATTAATGATAAAAATGACAGAATGACAAGAGGTAGTTGGTTGATAATTTTGCAACATCACTGTCAACGTCCGAATCACGAAATGGAATGACAGTTACATCTGAAAATGTCAGGCGAAAAGCTTACCAGTTAAAGTTGACAGACCTAGAGACCATGTGTGTGCTAATACGAAGCAAACACGCGTGATCATTAGTTTGAATAAATCAATTCATACGTGTTGCAAACTTATTATTGTGGAAAGTAATAAAGGTTTGTTTTCAAACATGAAAGATCGGCAGAAATGTGTCACTTGATATTGCGACTGTAGTATAGTAACATGCTGGTTTAGTTCTTGCAGAGCCCAAGAAAATAATATTCATCTCATTGTTTGCGATTGCTCACTGGTTAACAGTTATTAACAGTTGTGACATGTAAAAGAACCTTCCAATATTATATTTTGAAACTTAATTGTACAATGAGTTCAGAGGTGTATATTTCCAAGGAACAAGTTCACCATTTTCTTTTTAAATTAAATTTCCTTGTGTTGCTCATAAAACATATTTCGAGTCGAAAAATTGATGTTAGTATCTCAGATGTAATGCAAAAGGGGGCTGGAGAGCCTGGATCCAGACATATACTTTATATTTGTCAATAGATTCGATATGAATCTAGGAAACTGAAATAGTTGAGTTGGCAGTGAAATCCTACCGAAAAAGTCGCGATAAAAACAACGCAGCAAACAAAACAAAAATATATGTATACATATGTACAGCATATCAAACGTGTATTTTGCCTAGGAGTAAGGTCGATCTTTATTTAAATTAAGATGTCCTGTATTGTTAATAAAACATATTTAGTCAAAAAAGAGATGTTCAAAAAATGGCAAAAAGTGGTAAAACTTGGCTCTGAACATGTCTTTAAAACAGTTTATACATTTCCACAGAAATAATTATTTTACCTCAAAAAGACTAGTTCGACAATGGGATAAAAGAGATAGTGGTGGAAGGTGGTCGTAATAGCCCTCTCAATGCACGCCTGTTTTCAATATATGTCCTCGTCATTTGATAAAAGCCATACTAGACTATTTCAGTTTCTATATACAACATGTACAAACGAAGTTTTCTGTAGCTTACAGCCTAATTTTCTATAGATCACTCCCTCGTATAACTTGCCTTCTCGCCGTACTTACGATTGTATGTTGATTTCTGTACTAAGTCAATTTAAATGTTTTGTCATGTCAATGCATCATTGCTTGTTTATTCTAGAGCATATAAATGCCCGTCTTATTGCCTTAGCGACAATGTTTACATCGTTATGCTTGATGACATATTGGAGGAGATTCCTACAGCTATGTTTGGGAATAAAAAAATGCCGTATTTTTATAATAGCGAATCATAATTCAGTAAGACCCTCATTTGTTAATAATACGTATGCTGTATATGTTTGTAAGGGATGATTAAGCTGTCAGGATTCCGTATTGTATTACGTGTTTATATTAGTTTTGTATCACATTGAATAGAAGAACGTTTATTATTTAAGAACTATTGAAAACTGGTTTTAAAAGTCGATTTAAACATTATATCATATGCATGCACCATTGCTTGTTGAGACTAGCGCATTTAAATGTCTGTGGTATAGCCATAGTGACAGTGATTACACCGCTGTTTTAAGTGACATGTTGGAGTAGATATATACAGCTTTTTTTGGTGAAAACCGATGCAGTGTTATGATTGTAGTGAAGACATAGGTCGGTGTGCAGACCTTATTTACCTGTTTATAAAAGGTACCATTGACTAAAAGTATTACCTAGTCAACATATAGAATACAGCTACCTGCGTATAGTGACATTACGGAGCCCTGAGTGTGAAGAAATGTGTCTACCCGGTCACTGTCTAATCTTCAGGTATGCTCTTTTACAAGTAATACAATATATGGTTGGTTTTTGGTGTTTTTTTGCAATCTATCCTTTTTGATTTTGAAGTCATTTCATAAGGGGACTGCTCACTTATCTTTTAATCACAAAGCTTGAACACGTTGTTAAGTCAGACCAATACTAGCAATAGTAAAACGGCCATATCCTGTCCGCACCCAATTAAATTATTCAGTTCTAATAATCACAAGTCAATGGCGGTAATTATATTTGATCATGATCATTTAAATTGTTACCTAATTGCAATTATACATCAAATTGAAAAAAAGGACACGGCAATAATGAGACATGGAAATGTATTGTGGGTATCTTGATCATCCTTTTTTCTGATACCTAGAATAGAACTGTTAACCCTGTTCAATACCAGTTATATATAATATATATAATTTAGTTCCGGTCATATCATTAAAAAGCAATACTGCACTGCAGGGCATTTGTGTTACTACGATCTGTTATACTATGACACCGGTAAGCGCATACACATACACTGTCATTTACCACCTCCCCGTGTACTACACCGCGAGTTCCATGTAACCCACCACATAAGTATATACTCTATATTCCATGGTTTCTACACTGGATCACACCACGGTACTATGTATGTGTCATGTACACGATTATTATGTATAATTATGTCACCTGTTTATAATGCGTTAATAATACCTACATCTTCTTTAGCAGTTCTCCTCTAAATTTGGGAATTCATAAATATAGGAGTCTTACGCACCTGTCCCTCTGTTCCAACAGTACTTTAAACAATTTTGATTTCCAAATTCTTGGCTCCAATCAACATCACTGATGAGTCCTAGAAGGACAAACCAGCTGTATAATTGTAGTGTGCAGTATAATTCATGTTTGGCATTCTCTATCCATCCCATTCTTAGCAGTCAGCTGTGTGTGTGTTACGTTCACCTTTCCAAATACATACACAGCTTTAATGATAATACCATGTATTGAGAAACCAAAGGTGCGAGCAATAAAGTCTAGTTAAAATACTCTTTTCTGGTATTCAAAGGCACATACTCAGTTATTAAGTTCTAAAGCTCTGTTAGTATGTAATTCCTTGTACTTGATTTAAAATTCGTACATTAATAACGCATACGGTTTTCTGATTATACATATTCACTGTAACACAGACAAAAACAAAACGGGCGACAAAATATTGATTCCGGATGATATTAAAGATTTGTGTCAATCTCCAGGCAAATTCATTGTACTGTTATTGTAACGTTATGACGTTAATAGATCCAAAATACAAAGTGAGCTAAATAAGAAACATGTATGGTTGTTTCTATTGTTTGTGGACTGAAATTCGTTCAATTGTGCGTTTCCCGATTAATTCATATAGCACCAATTGCAAAGTTGGGCATTTTGAACAGTAAATCAAATGTCCCTTTTGAAATGTTGCCATCATTTCTTTTAATAGTTTCAAATATGCACAGATTACTCATCTAAGTTTTCCTTTTTTACAACCAGTGTAGTGTTCATTATTGGCCTTTTTATTTCTGTTTTGCCTGTTCTCATACAGTCACAACATGCAGTATACATTTGTACTTAATTTGATCCTTAATCCGTTATTGTAAAAGTAATTAACCTCTTGTTATTTTAAGAAACCTAGTCAATTAAGCATATGCTATACTAACCTACCTACGTTAGGAATCACTGTTTTAATAAATTAACTGCCATATCTTTTGTGGTGTTTTGGGTTTTTGAGAAACAAAACCCACACATCATATACTCTCTATATAAAATCTATCTGCATCTGTGCCAAGTTTTACTTCAATTTTCTTTAATGATCACGGCAAAGTCTATGTATGTTGCCTAGTATTCAGCAAGATATCCATACTAAAAGAAGTTGTATCTTTTATCTTACAGGACATTTAGCCGCAGCGATCTTAGGTTAAACAATGGCGACGGGAGGTGCATCACGATCTAAGAAGGTAGGATTACATCAGTTACATATTTGCATTTAATTGTCTCCTGAAGACAAATCATAGTCATGATCTGAGTATGCTTAGGTAAATGGTTTGACTTTCAGGGAGAATGTAATTATCGTTTCCTTTGTGTCCCTTCTTAATATTTACTTTCAACCTAATTTTTGAATTTTGGTTTGAAATCAAAGATGATAACAAACTATTCAATATTGTCACGAATCCCCCTGTTTCTCCTATAACTTCAATGATTTAGAGTTATAAAACATAGATCACATATACGGTTACGGGGGAAATGCTACACACGCTCTAACATATATAAATTGTATATAAAGTCACAAGGAACAAATATAATAGAACGGTTACGGTATTTTAGAAGAAAAAGAGTGAAATTGAACTACTGTAAACTGTTTGCTTGTACAAGGAAAATGTAAACCTATTTCTATTTGAAGCCACCTATTCATAGTAAAAATTCCATCATGTTATGATGTATGTCTTCGTTCCTTAGAAACAAATATTACTCTACGAAACCCCAAAGTCTAATATCTTTGACTCCCTCTTAATATGTATCTCCTTCCTCTACGTACACTGGGCGTAAAACGGACTCTTTTGCATCCTACAGCACATATTTTTTTCTATAATATTATTAAATCGCACTAAGCGTGACATTTTCTAGAAAGTGACAGCTGTTCTCTTTGGCATAAAACCAAATGGTTCCTCACTGATGAAGGACAAAACAATATTAATACCCTAGCTTTAAATACCCATTGGTACGACGAACACTAAATGTTAATTCGAAACGTTATTTAAAACTTTACTCGTGAACTAAAGGATGACATTTGCCGTTTTGTATATCATAGAGCATATTTTGACTACTTCATTTAAGAACCGATAAACAAACATTATTTTAGGTATTTGAAGGTTGCACATATAATGTGTGTTGACTTCGTCCCATTCATTGTTCACTTTGTAAACTAATGAACAATACTTATTAAGATAAGCAGTAGATTTAAGTCACAACGTTTCACATAATGTAGACTTTAAGAAACCTTGCTCTAGGGGACCCAATGATAATTGTGTTTTTATACTAAATACAATAAAGGTTTATGTAACATTACATACATTGGATGCGAGTGGTAACAACATTTACTTTTCGAAGAATTTGCAACAGAGGACCACATATTTTTGACAGTTTTACAGTTATTGCAATACTGTGTAACATGCATTGGAGAATTAGAAGAAAAAAAAA